GGTGACCCCCTACTTATGTACAATATAAAGTGACCTCTGGTTCCCTCTACTGATGTTCAATATAAGGTGAACTCTGTTTCTCCTACTATGTACAATATAAGATGTCCTCTGGTCCCCCTACTGATGTAAAATATAAGGTATCCTAGGGTTCATTTATTGGTGTACAATATAAGGTGACCTCTGGCCCCTCTACTGATGTACAGTACAATATAAGGTGACCACTAGCCCCCGTATTAATGTAAAATATCGGGTGACATCCCCGTAATAATGTACAAATTAAGGTGTCCTCTGGTCCCCATACTGATGTACAATTAAAGGTGACCCCTTTTCCCCTACAGATGTATAGTATAAGGTGTCCTCTGGTCCCCCTACTGATATACAAGAGAGGACCTGCAGGTCCTTCTGCTAATGTACAATATAAGATGACCGCTGGTCCTGCTACTAATGTAAAATATAAGGTGTCCTCTGGTCCCGCTTCAGATGTACAGTACAATATTAGGTGACCACTAGTCCCCGTACAATATAAAGTGACCTCTGGTCCTTCTGCTGATGTACAATATACGATGACTTCTGGTTTTACTACTGATGTACACTATAAGGTGACCTCTGGTCTCTCTACTGATGTACAGTACAATATTAGGTGACCAATAGTCCCCGTACTAATGTAAAATATAGAGTGACCTCTGGTCCCCGTATTGATGTACAATATAAGGTGTTCACTCGTCTCCCTACTGATGTACAATATAAGGTGTCCTCTGGTCCCTCTACTTATGTACAGTACAATATTAGGTTACTTGTAGTCCCCCTACTGATGTACATTATAGGGTGACCTCTGGATCCCCAAATGATGTACGATATAAGGTATCCCCAGGTCCCCCTATTTTGTGCAACAAAAAATTTCCTTTGGACCTCTATTGATTTAAAATGTAAGGTGACCTATGATCCCTCTGATGATGTACAATATAAGGTGACAACTTGTCTCCCTAATGATGTTAAATATAAGGTGGCCTCTGGTCCCCCTACTGATGTACAATGTAAGGTGATCTTTGGTCCCCCTATTGATGTAAAATATTAGGTTACCTCTGGTCACCCTTTATTATTTTCACGTTTCTGTTAATATATTTATTAGAAAGTTGATCTTTATAAAGTTATAAATATGATTATTTTGGAGTAAGACAAAGAAAATTGTCTATCATATAAAATTCAATTAATATATAAGGTGACCTGAGGTCTCCGTATTGATGATATCGATGAATTTAATTTTGTGCCTTTAATGCCTGGAGAGTTCCTAGAATGTTTTATTACTACGCAAAATGACGAACTATTTGCGGGGGACCCCAGGTCCTAGTTCAGCGTACGTTTTATCCTTCTGCGTAAATTATCCGCCCTCTCTGGACAATGTTGGATTACAGGCGCTTGTTGCTTTTATCCTTTTTTTCATAAATAAAATCCCATACTATTATGGTAGTATGGAGAAAATATTTGTGAAAAGAAATGTTAAAAACGTCAAGCACCTGTGCTCTGGATTGACTTGCCACTTTAGAAGAAAGTTTTAGAGTGACAATGTCTGTTAATTAATAAATCATAATAAGATAGTTGTTATGCATAAAGTTGATAAACAATGAACTGGATTATCTTTTGAGTAGTAAACTAGTAAAACGTATGCCCTGTATATGCAGAGAGTTTAATTTGCATTAAATTACAGTAGTGAGATGTAAACTAATGCAAATTAAAATAATGCAAATTAAATTGCGTTCACACGACAGCTAAAGCAAATGCGAATTGAAATTTTATTTCTGCAAAAAGGATATTCAGCAAGACTATTGTGACGTCATTTGTAAATCTTTTGAGTAGTAAACTAGTAAAACGTATGCCCTGTATATGCAGAGAGTTTAATTTGCATTAAATTACAGTAGTGAGATGTAAACTAATGCAAATTAAAATAATGCAAATTAAATTGCGTTCACACGACAGCTAAAGCAAATGCGAATTGAAATTTTATTTCTGCAAAAAGGATATTCAGCAAGACTATTGTGACGTCATTTGTAAATCTTTTGAGTAGTAAACTAGTAAAACGTATGCCCTGTATATGCAGAGAGTTTAATTTGCATTAAATTACAGTAGTGAGATGTAAACTAATGCAAATTAAAATAATGCAAATTAAATTGCGTTCACACGACAGCTAAAGCAAATGCGAATTGAAATTTTATTTCTGCAAAAAGGATATTCAGCAAGACTATTGTGACGTCATTTGTAAATCTTGTCGTGTTTGAAGAGTAGATCCATTTGACATACTAATAATAAAGACTGTAATAAATTTTGTGTTTATCATAATTTTTTTCCTTTAATGTAGTTCAACCAAAAATAGCACAAATACCCAAATCTCCTGTGGCCGTGGCTAACTTCTGGCCTTATGCAGGTGTCAAAGTTTAATTGGAATTAGCTTCTCTTAGCATTTATTCGGAGCTAATGCGTAGTAATTTAATGCACAATTAATTAATTCCTATTAAACTAATTTGCATTAAGTACTCTGAGTGAATGTTCAAATTTAATTGCAGTAACTTGTGTTTAATTCAAATTAAAACATTTTTGTTATGTAACCCTTTGTGTTTTTAGTACATTATATAGCATAATATATTTGGATATTTAAAACACTCAATTCTTAACTTAATCTAGAGCTTTTTGTCAACTTAATGTACAATTACAGTACTTAATGTACAGGTTTTAAATTTTAAAAACAATACATAAAATGCGAAACATTTTCTGAACTTCATCATGTTCATTAGTAATGAAAACAAGCAAATAACTTTTTTAATTCAATACACAATAATTATGCATAAATATCAAACATTTGTATATATTTGCATATATCTACTGCTTTTTCCCATTATGAACATGTAGTAATCAACTGCGTTTATAGAACTATAGACGCAACTGCTTCTACTATGGGTGCAATATGCTCTATCACACTCGTGTAGAACAATAACCACTACAATTGTATCTTGTGTTGAAAAGTATATATATATGAAATGTTTCATAAGAGGAATAAAATAAGTTTTTAATAATATTCTTTGAAAAAAAGGAAATTCAGAATACTTTAAATTGCTGATTTATATCTTTAAAAATTTAATTTTGGTCAATGTATTTAATTGTATAATAAAACTTTTTAAAAATTATAGAGAACTGCCATATTTTTATTTTTTGTATCATGCATATTTGAACAAAGAACGATAACTCTTCACACTTGGGTAATAACATTCCGAAAGAGAAATATATCTATTTCAAGAATGATTTCAGCTATTAAAAAAAAATAAAAAAAAAAATAAAAATAAATTATAGAAAAGCATTCTGGAGTAATAATCATTATAAAAGCATTCTCATTTTTCATCATAGTGTTAAATTATTGATTTTTGTCAGAGGGTTATAATAACGTTGATCAATGACGTCACAACTGCATCAAAACAAAAATGTGATGACGGCGCTGCTTGTATCCAGATAACTGTGTTTGAGAGGGAAATACTTTATAAATATGTTTGTAATTTATTAGAGAAAAGGAGCATTGATCAGGTTTACTGATTTTAAAGCCGTGTGTTTTTCTTTACTGAAGACAAGAAGCTGCGTCCTTATGTAAGTCAGGATTTCCTCTGATATTCTTGAAAAAATATCAAAGAATGCAAATATAAGTAATAAACAACGATTATTCAGTGAACATGGTATTATGAATAGCAATAGCTCTGCTGACATATTTTCCATGATGCGCTAGCGCGCATCATGGAATATGCCAGCAGAGCAATTGCTATTCATAACGCCATGTTCACTGAATAACGTTGTTTATTTCTTAAATGAAAACTTCAACAGTATATCCTCTTTGGAAATGACAAATCCAATGCAAAAATGTGATATCATGATGGATAATGATTTTAGAACATCCACATCCAGATTTTTTTTTATTAATAAACAAACGTCTCATCCTCTTCACAACAGTTGTAAATGAAGTAGTAGATCCATTCCATGATCGAATGTTTAAAAAAAAAAATATCCAACAACAATTTACAATTTTAAAAGAGAATTAAGGCATATTTCCTGATGAAATCATAACCTCACTAGATGTACTGTAGGTAGAATCATTTTTGGGACAGGGATCACAAATTTTCATCTTTTTCATACACTTGCCATTATCTGAATCCCCATATTTCCATGAATTATTTCATTTACTCTCTGCTACTTTTGATTGTTGGTTCAATTGCAGGATAAAACTGTAACAGATTTGTGTCCCGTTTTCTCTGTTATTAGCTGTTCCTCAATCTCAGCTTCATACAAGCGGGTCGCGGGTGTTGTTCTCAAAGAATGTTTCGTATATGTGTCCCTTAAATCCTGATTGTTCACAAAGATTGCGATATTTTTTGTCAAAACTTGAACACTAACTTCAGATTCTGCATACCTACAGGCTTCTGCTTGTGTTTACCTACTTTCGAGTATTTACCGACCTTTTTCCTGTATTTTGGAGAAATATGCATTACTTTCTCCATCCGATGAGGACATCCTCATTCATGAAGCTTTACATGGGAAGTGGTCAGAAATCAAGTGAGCTATCATTTAAATCAATATTTACCTGGCACTGTCCATTAAGTTAAACAATACAGCTATATTGTTTTCACCTCTCACTCTCTGGACAATCAAGTGTATGACGTAATCAAAGCAAATACATCACCATCACCTGGGACAGTTTATTAAGTTAACAATAGAGAAAATGTTTTAAGTAGGATAAAGTCCTCAAACTGTCCATTCTGTGAGAGAAAAAACTATTCTCGGCCCTTCGGGCCTCGAACAGTTCTTTCTCTCACAGAATGGACAGTTTTCGGACTTTCTCCTTTACTTAAACCCTCCATTTGAACAGGACATAAAAAGTTGGTGGTGCTTTAATGTCTAAATACACTCATTTAAAATACTTTGCTTTTTTCTTAATTACATGCATTTACAGCTAATTTTTGTATTTGTAGAAATCTTCAGGACAAAGATACCTTTTCTAAATCGGATCCAATGTGTGTACTGTACATCAAGGATGCAAGAACAGGCTCTTATCAGGAGGTGAGACATTAAGATGATCGTTACTTTAATAGTTTTATACAGGTTAATAGATAGGTCTACCTCTGAATTTGATAATCAGATGAGAAATGTCTTGGGTCGTATGTTTGATAAAATTTTTGACAGCACGTGTGTGTCATTGTTAATTTAAAATTAGTTGACAGGCGTAATATGGAAAGGAGATAAGAGTAAACATACATTGAATATTTAAAAATACATAAACAATGAAAACGTATGGCTGAACTGGGAAGTGAATCTGGGGCCCCTGCATCACTTGTCAGGTGATCTAACCACTGAGCTATCCAGGCCGATGTCCTCAGTCCAGCCTAATTTTATACACAAGTAATAGTAAATACTGTAAATACAGGCTTACTGTTTTGAAATATGCTAATTTGCTTTTAGCATGTTTAGAAAGTTTGAGGCTGTATTTGTTCCACCAGGATCCAAAAGGAATCATGATGATGTTTAGAACATTGGAATACATGCACAAGGTTTTATTAGGGACTCGGTATTGACTATTGACCGAATAAAGCTTTGCTTTGTTGAGTTCCTTTTCTCCAGTTATGCAGGGGAAGGGGGAGTTGGGGTCATTATAAAAAGTTTTAAATACTGTTTTGTGTTAAATGTCTCTGTGTCTTTAAATTCATGACATTATTAGATTACATGCTGGTTACCAAGTAGTGTTTCTATCTTTCAAATTTCCACTGCATCTATGAACATGTCTTGGAAAAGACAGGAAAAAATACAGTTTTTGTATTGTTACTTAAAATAATAATGAGCCTGAAAATGCATGACATATGTTCTAACTTTCTTGTAGTTTGGCAGAACAGAGATGATAAAGGATACACTCAATCCAGACTTTGTACACAAGTTTGTGATGAACTACTACTTTGAAGAGAGTCAGAAGCTCAAATTTAAAATGTAAAAATATATTTATTTACAGTAAATGAAGCATCATTGCCTTTGGTACAGCTATTTTATAGACATACCAGTTTATAACCCTCTACATATTATATTTAATTTTTATGCCCCGCCATGAATATGGCCGGGGCATATAGTGTTTGTCATGTCCGTCTTCCGTCCTTCCGTCCTTCTGTCCTTCTGTCCTTCCGTCCTTCCGTCCTTCCGTCACACTTTGCGTTTAGCTCTGTTCAAAGCTAAGTTTCAAAGAAACTATCCAAGATATTTTCATCAAACTTCATATGCTGATAGATATTGATGAGAGCTATGGTTCATCTAGGGATGAACACTACCAGACTTGCTTCGGATGCTGGATTTGACTGACATTTTCAAGACGAGTGACCAGGTAAAAGTTTTTGGAACAGGTCCATTCCTAAGGAACTATAAGCCCCACTTGGACCAAACTTGCATGGATGATGCATCTAGGGATGGACACTACCAGACTTGCTTCGGATGCTGGATCTGGCCTACATTTTCCAGATGAGTGACCAGGTTAAAGTTTTTAGAGCATGTCCATTCCTAAGAAACTATAAGCCATACTTGGACCAAACTTGCATGGATGATGCATCTAGGGATGGACACTACCAGACTTGCTTCGGATGCTGGATCTGACCTACATTTTCCAGATGAGTGACCAGGTTAAAGTTTTTAGAGCATGTCCATTCCTAAGAAACTATAAGCCATACTTGGACCAAACTTGCATGGATGATGCATCTAGGGATGGACACTACCAGACTTGCTTCGGATGCTGGATCTGACCTACATTTTCCAGATGAGTGACCAGGTTAAAGTTTTTAGAGCATGTCCATTCCTAAGAAACTATAAGCCATACTTGGACCAAACTTGCATGGATGATGCATCTAGGGATGGACACTACCAGACTTGCTTCGGATGCTGGATCTGACCTATATTTTCATTCCCAAGTAACTATAAGCCCTACCTGAACCAAACTTACATGGATGATGCATCTTTGGATGGACACTACCAGACTTGCTTCAGATGCTGGATCTGACCTATATTTTCATTTCCAAGTAAAACCCCAGTCACATTTCCAAAAACGACCAACGGCCGACGGGTTTTGAAGGAAAAATGGGATTCTTCGGGTGACAATCGTCAGTTCATCGGCCGTTGTCTTGGCCGATTTTGACCTATTTTTTTGTCGGCCGACCAATTTTGTGTCCATCGGTCCAAGTTATAATTTTTCATGCGTCGGTGGCCGATTTCTTCAAGTGCAGTTATCAGTCGACCAACCTTCGATCATCGTCCGACCATCGGCTGTCAGTTTATTAAGTCGGTCGTCCGTCGTTGGACAATAAGCATGTTGAAAATTTCGGCCGACAGTTGAAATCAAACTGTAGCTCAGAGCTCGATGATCGGGCGACGATTGGCCGACTTGTGAATATTTAACCTATTAAGGATACATAAAACAAACAAAATTTTGATGCATAGATTGATATTAATTTTTTTAATGGAGATAACATAAATAATTAATCCGTAAGATATAAAGAAATCTTAAGTATTCTTTGCTGCTTAGATATGCACCATTTGTCGTTTTTATGCAATTCTATACAAATTTTACACACATTTTCAACATCGAGTCACAATTTTATAAGATTCTGCCACTTTGCCTTGCAAACATTACTCACGTCATCTATCTGAATATAGATATATGAAAAAATATTGCTGATTTCTAAAGAGAAAAAGGTTTTTGTGTTATTTATCAAAGTCATCGGTGTCCCTAGGAAATAATGTGACTGCTCCGTGTCGCCCGATACTGTGTCGGCCGATCCTGTTCTTTCAGCCGACAAGACCAGAAAAATTTAGTCGCCCGTCCATCGGCTTAAATGTGACCTAGGCATAACTGTAAGCCCTACCTGAACCAAACTTGCATGGATGATGCATCTAGGGATGGACACTACCAGACTTGCTTCAGATGCTGGATCTGACTTATATTTTTATTCCCAAGTAACTATAAGCCCTACCTGAACCAAACTTACATGAATGATGCATCTAGGGATGGACACTACCAGACTTGCTTCGGATGCTGGATCTGACATATATTTTCATTCCCAAGTAACTATAAGCCCTACCTAAACCAAACTTGCATGGATGATGCATCTAGGGATGGACAATACCAGACTTGCTTCGGATGCTGAATCTGACCTATATTTTCATTCCTCAGTAACTATAAGCCCTACCTGAACCAAACTTATATGGATGATGCATTTTTGGATGGACACTACCAGACTTGCTTCGGATGCTGGATCTGACCTATATTTTTATTCCCAAGTAACTATAAGTCCTACCTGAACCAAACTTGCATGGATGATGCATCTAGGGATGGACACCACCAAACTTGCTTCGGATGCTGGATCTGACCTATATTTTCATTCCCAAGTAACTATAAGTCCTACCTGAACCAAACTTGCATGGATGATGCATCTAGGGATGGACACCACCAAACTTGCTTCGGATGCTGAATCTGACCTTTATTTTCATTCCTAAGTAACTATAAGTCCTACCTGAGCCAAACTTGCATGGATGATGCATCTAGGGATGGACACTACCAGACTTGCTTCGGATGCTGGATCTGACCTATATTTTTATTCCCAAGTAACTATAAGTCCTACCTGAACCAAACTTGCATGGATGATGGATCTAGGGATGGACACCACCAAACTTGCTTCAGATGCTGGATCTGACCTATATTTTCATTCCTAACTAACTATAAGTCCTACCTGAACCAAACTTGCATGGATGATGCATCTAGGGATGGACAATACCTGACTTGCTTCGGATGCTGGATCTGACCTATATTTTCATTCCCAAGTATCTATAAGCCCTACCTGAACCAAACTTGCATGGATGATGCATCTAGGGATGGACACTACCAGACTTGCTTCGGATGCTGGATCTGACCTATATTTTCCAAACAAGCAATTCAGCTGCATCACTATTCTGGATATTCTGATCAAATTTTAAACACATACTAATTTTCATGTTGCTTTACTGATATATCCTCGGCGGGGCATTCATGTCCTATGGACATATTTCTAGTTGTATGTGGCTTTTTAAATTAATTGTCATTCTCTTGTAAACACTTTATTTGTATCAATAAGTATAAATTTTATTTTAGATATGATGTAGACTCACCTAAACAAGCCCTATCAGCACATGTAAGTACTTTTATTGAAATAATTAACCATTCTAATAATTTAGAAAAAATGAATGCATCTTAAGGGGGCCGACTATAGTTTTATTGTGTGAAAACTACAATAGCGAAACTCTTCATTTTCATACCATATATAACTTACATTAACTTCAGTGTACATGCAAAGTTTAAGGGAAATCTACCGTCCAGGTATTTTCAAGGGACCGTCTCAAAATACAGGTACATTTACATATTATATAGGAAAATGGCAATTTTTAGCACTTTAAAGCAAATTATACAAATACTACAATAGACATTTTGATCAAACTATAATATTTGATGAGTAATACTATATTATTCAATATATGTAAGAGACACTAAATTCTACCGTCTTGTTACTAGACAAAATGCAAAGAATTAGCAAATTTTACTATTTTTATAGAGTATTACAAAATATGACGTACACAATTATAGATTCACATGAAAATATAATAAAAATATTGAAGATATTCTCAAATATCTATGTTTTAAATTTCAAGAGTGTATGTTTATTACTTTTTCTTTAATAATATTTTTATTACCCCTTTCTTTAAGAGCTACAGATTATCATAACGTCAAAAACACACTGCAACGACGTCAACCTACCTATCAATTGCAAAATCGGTTAAAAAATCCGTTATATCAAATTGTAATTACATTTTTATACCTATAATTTCTTAATTTTGTTTAATTTTAATAATTAAGCGAAAAAAGTTGCATTAAAACAGTAAATACGCTTCATTTTACTATGATGCGCGAAATATTGCGCAATGGAAACTATAGTCGGCCCCCTTAAATGCATTAATTTTTTCTAAATCACATGTTCATTCAGTACACATTCTCTCCGACTCTCGTTTACAATCAAGAAGTTTTTACAGTATTTACAATTTTACAGGCTATTACATGTACATTTACAGGATTTTCTGGGGAGGTTGGAATGTTCGCTGGGAGAAATTGTTGGGGCCTCCAGTGGAAGGATGGATGCAAAGCTGCAGTACGAGTCTGAGTTATTGCCCTTTAAAATTAATTTTTGATAAAAAATATATTGATTATTTACATATGCCTCACATATCAATTTCATAACAAAAAGGACAGATAAACTTAAAAGTGATAACATGTTCTATTTATGTATAGAAATGTTGAATATTCAATTTGGTTTCAATATTTCAGGGGATCAAAGGGTCGTGGACAGATTATTGGTAGGTACATGTAAACATACTACACACAATTATTGAATAATTGTAAACATTTAAGGTACATGTACTATACACAATTGAATAATATCTTCAAATTATTTCTTTATTGAAATTTTTTCTGAATGTATTATGTGACAGAAAATTTAACTGAACTTTGATGTAGTACAAAATGTAATATATAATTATAAATTATGCACATTGATAAAAATTTTTATGAATACATACATGTAAATGACTCAATATTTTTCGGAGTAGTTAATATCAATTATGTCCACTGTTTTTCTATGTAGAGAAGGTAGAATTATTCTTTACTAAATGTTAAAATAATATTAATTTTATTCTTTTCAGTAAGAGCTGAAGAAATGAGTTCTTCAAAGGTACGGAAAATGAAAGGAATCACTGTGTTGAAACAAAAAAATAAACCTCTTATCAAATCTTTATGTATATAAACATGTAGTTCAATCATGTAATAAAAAAAACCCTGTACAGATCAAAAAAGGAGATTGATACAGTGTAGTAGTATTTCTTACTAAAATGTTCGGATGTAGATTTTATCATCTCTTGGAGGGTACTTGTATAGGAAGTATCCACTATTTTAAAGTGTCTATAGCCTATTGTACATGTAATAGAGCTGTAGCACAGTACTTGCTTTAATATTCATACATGTGCATTCAAAAAATTTTCTTTTTTTATTAGGAGCTGTTAACACTACACTTCAGTGGAACTAAACTAGACAAGAAAGACTTTCTGGGAAAATCCGATCCCTTCCTGATTCTGTATAAAGCCAATGAGGATCGCAGGTATAGTGTACTGGCTATATATTGCAGTATTTAATCTGCAGGAAGTATTATGAAAAACTATTTCCTGGTATGCACAGGAATATCTATTAATGTACAATATGCAAGTACAGGATTAAGAATAACTCCTTTATATGTTAACTACTGTACATTATTACAACAGGTCATAAGAATTATAAGTACTGTCTAATGTTGAAAATATAAAAATATAAGTATTTTTCAAAATTATCCTTTTCCTATATAACGTTTAACAGTTTGTAATAATGTATATATGTTTTAAATATTTGTTGTTTTTTTTCAGTTTCACAGCTGTTCATAAGACAGGGGTTATAAAAAATACACTCAATCCAACATGGCGACCTTTCCAAATTCCAGTAGCAAAACTTTGTAATGGGGATTATGATAGGTAATTACATGTACTTCAGATCTTACTATCTTGTTTTCATTTACCAGAGAGATATTCATTATAAATATAAATGTGGATTTCAGTCATTTAAAATTTTTCACAAGTCTGAATACACCAACCTAAGTAGTTGCAATAATGCAGCACTTCCCAAATGGAGAGGGCAACATTGTTGCACCTATAATCATTCTTTTTGTAATCAACTTGTTTATAGACATTTGGCAATATGTACAAGTTTTAATAATTGTTTTTTGTAATTTCTAGTCAATGAAATTGAAGATCTTCAAGTATAAATTTCTAAGCACATGATTTGATATAGCACAATTTG